TCCAACAAAAATAACTTCATTCATGTCATACTAACAGTATTTAAAATGTTTTGTTTTGTATGATTGTAACATGCAGCTACTTATGATTCAGAAAACATCACAAGTTGACTTCTGCTTTATTTATTTATTTTTGTTAATGTGATCTCAAAGATGACGCTTTTTATGTCAGCTTACTCTTTTCTTTTTCGTATTTCAACTTACCCATAATCTATTTAATCTGCTTGTCCAATATTATTAAATCTGAATCAATGACATGATGAGAAATGACACTAAACATTTCAAGCTTTTATTTTTATTAGTTCCTGAGATATTTTAGTTCAAAACAGCCTCAAATTTCAATTTGCAAAAAAAAAGTTTATGGGTGATAAATGGTGTAATTTTGGGGTTTTCTTTATTAAAACAACAACAACAAAAAAACAAAACGTATCTTTCAAACCTTCAAACATTTATTCATAGTTCTAATTTGTATATATTTTTATTTTGACTCGTTTTCATCATGAAAAATGAGTCAACAGATATATTTTGTCATAGTTTGCGTTGTTCTGAGATTGTTTGAAGCCACTTGCTAAATGAGCTGTTTTGAAAAACGTGTTCAGAAATTTAACAGTTTTTATTGCAAGACTTTAAGAAAACCTTTAACTTCTTAGATAGAATGGAATAAAACAAGAACCTAAGTCACGATAACAATCCTAGTGTCTGTTGGAGGAGAACTCTTCTGACGGTGTGGTCTCCGTTTTCCTCAGAGTGTCTGGAGGAGTTGGGTTGTTTGATAGAAGGCTACGGGATGAACGTTTGCCAACCGACTCCGGCTAAATCCCTGAAGGAAATCGCCGTCCACATCGGCGACAGAGACACGTCTGTCCGCAACGCTGCCCTCAACACCGTGGTGGCCGTTTATAACGTGTGTGGAGATCAGGTCTACAAACTCATAGGAAACGTACGTATACGTGGCCCCGACACTCGAACATCGCACTCGAACACCCGCTCCGCTCGCTCTGACGCTCGTCTTTCCTCTGCAGCTGTCTGAGAAGGACATGAGCATGCTGGAGGAGAGGATCAAGCGTTCGGCCAAGAAGACTCCGGCCGCCCCGGCCAAGCAGAGCGCCGCCGAGAGGCCTCAGAGGGAACATCCGACGAACCCCAACGCCACCTTCCTCCGCAAGCCTGCACAGGAAGATCCCAACAAGCTCAAGTAGGTCCCATCTAACCGTATCTGGGTGGAAAACCAGCAAAGCTCCACATGATGTGTATAAATAGTACCCACTGCATGAGCAATACGTTCATCTCTGGAGAGTGTCAGTGAAATTACAGCAGGTAAACTCAAACTTTAGCAACAGATTTTACAAAAACATGATGCACACCAACTAAAAATGTTTGTATAGATGTTGCTTTAAAGAGATAAAATAATGATTCAGTGACTGTGGCTTTCTAAACAGCCCTCTACAGGTTACAGTGCCTTTTATTGTGTGAAAATATTCACATTTTTCAGGATTATTTTACAATAACAGGTAGAGCTGCAACAGTTAATCCATTAGTTGTCAACTGTTAAATTAATTGGCAGCTATTTTGATAGTTTATTAATCAGTTTGAGTAACTATTTAAGAAAAAAAACTGTCCAAATTCTGGTTTCTTTCCTCCTCTATCACAGTAAACTGATTATCTTTTGGATTGTGGACAAAACACATTTGACTTTTAGTAACACCGATTGATAATTTCCACCATTTTCTGACAATTTACAGACCCAACAACTAATATATTAATCTAGAAAATGACCAACAGATAAATCAACAATGAAAACAATCATTTTGAAAAGTTCTTACCCTAATAATAGGTCACAGTAGTCATTTTTGTGCACTTTAGACACTGATAATCTTTATTTTTGAAGCATTTTTTAAAGCAGGCAAGTCATAAAATTCTCGCAATTTGAAGGTGTATTTAAAAACAAACCAATGCAGTTTTGGAAAAGGTAGCACTTTTTTAAATAAATGACATCTTAAATGAAATTAAAACTCAGAAAAGGGTTAAGAAGAGACTGATCAATACATAAAATAAGTTAAAGGAATGCAGTTTGTCACCTCTGGAGCTGCTTGAGCTACAATCACATAAATCCTGTCACAGTTTAATGTTTTAATGCTGAATATTTACCTCCTCTTTGCCAACGTAGCACTCGACATAAAATCAACACTGATGTTTTATTGATTGAGTTTCATCGTAAGACGGTCTTAAGGGAGATCAAGCAGCCTGCATGCAAAGCCTTTCTCATCATCTAACTAATAACAACAAACAAGGGTGAAGGGTGTAAAGCAGACATTAGATTTTACAAACCAGGGGTGTAATGGCACATGTTTAGCACAAGGTGTTTGTTTCAGCACTTTCTGTGATTTAAACTGTCAGAAGTGTCTTTAGACCTCCTGGAACAGAAACTCTGGCTCTTCTAGTTCCACCTGGACTGATTTATCAGAGGCCTGTTGTCGTCTGTCAGTGTTAGCATGCTAACAGTGTTAGCATTTAGAGCTGCAGACATGTTATGAATCTTGTACGATGTGTAACTCAGAATACATGTAGGTAGGTAAGTTAAATAAATGTGTTCTAGTTTTGAATGATTTTCAGAACAGAAATCTAAACATTGGGGAAAGACTTCAGAATACAGACAGGAAACTGGATCATTAAGAAGTTATTGTAAGTTTTCCTGAAGTGGAAATGATTCATCTTGTAAATTACATACATTTTTATTGAAAACCTCAGTTTCCACTAATAGCAGTCACCATGAAACTTCCCCGGTTGATTACTTACATCCATTTTTTTGGATTTGCAAGTTTTCTTAAATGTTATGCCTAAATGTGCAAATTGTGTATTATCTAAATAAATAGGTGTTAGTTTACATAAATGCTTCACAGATAATGTAGTAAAATAAACCCTTACGTGTGTTTTTTAGATGTTTTCATTCAACTTGTCTTAAAAACATTTTATAGAAGCAAAATAACCCAAAATCACAAAATTGAATAGTGCGTTTAGATAATAAATAAAACTTTAGTCTGTCTTCCTGCTGCCAAAACCTGCAGCTCCTCTGCTCACACTAAACAAAATACAGAATGCAGTTCAATAAAGGTTATTCAAACAAAATTGCAGTGCATTATTGATGGTATTGCAGCTGTTAATGGAGTTTTTACTTATTTTCTACCTGAGAATTTGCAGCATTTCAGTGTCTTAACGGTTAAAGGAAGAATTTTGGGCAATAAACCTCAAAATAAATGACAAAAAATATGTGCATTTCTTTTGTTTGTACTAATAAAAGTACCAGATCGTGACTTTTATATGCCGTTACACCCCAAAAATGAATATTAGTAAATAGTAAACTAATCAGTTTCAAACGTCAGGTGTGAGATGTTGTGAACGCATTAAACCCCGACTTTTCCAGCTGTTCGTCATGAGCATGTCAGTCATTCTGCCTCCTCTTTTTATCTGTCAGATCCACCGTGCTGTGATTAGTTAGATTCATACTTCTGTCTCTACTAATCTGTCCTTCTCTCGTCGTTCCTGTTTTGACCGAATCTTTGCATGTCGGGTTGATCTCGCGGCGTCTCGACCCGTGAAACCAACCCGTGTTCGGCCGTCTGTCCGTCTCTTAACCCTTCATCTTTCTTCCTGTGTGATTTCCTCCTTCTTTCTCTGCTCTGCCTGCCTTCCTTTCCGGAGCAGAATAATGTATCGCACGTATAGGATGTGAGTACCAACTCCTCCTCCTCCTCCTCCTCCCTCATCTTCCTCCTCGTCCTCTTTCCTACGTGTTGTCATTGTCTTCTCTGAATGCCTTCTAACACTTCATGAGGCTAGGAATGAATGCAGTGGCATTTGAGTTTTAGTCGTGCTTGGTCACGGGATGGTAGGTAAAGCACCAGACTAATGTTCAAAATGTCACCTTTCAAACATTCCCGTCATCCCTCCGTCTCACCTGTGTCTGATCTGAACACCTGAGAATGAGATGAACGGTCCTCTGCTTGGTCTGCCAGCTGTAAATACACAGCATCATCTAATTTAGCATTAATTCAACCAAATACTATCAGACATCCAAGTACGCAGACCTTATGTTTGGAATTCTCGTTGAAACCGAATGCAAAAATGTCACCGCTGAACCATAGACAGAGTAGATGGTCTCCTTTGATGCCAGATAGTTACTTTTATCCTTAATTGTGAGGTAAAAAATTGATTTATTCATAGTTTTTCAGTTAGTTGGGGAGACAAAGAGGCAAAAATACTGCACCAGGTGAATTTAAATTGGTAGTTTTGCTGCAAATCAGAAGTTGCAGCAGAATTAATTAAGCTAGGCTACTCAATTGCCACAATTCTGCCCCTTTCAGACCTGCTTTCTGGATTAAATGCACTGCTGCGCGGCTAACTAGCTCCTCAGCTGCAGCACGTTAAACAGCATGTAGCTGCTAACGTGGCTTCAGATGCTCCTCAGCGCTAACAACATGCTCTCCAACGCACATCGCTACGGCACAAGTTTGTTCACTGTGTTGGATGTGATGTTTGTAACGTAACTTCACTGTGTTTTAGCACCACTAGGAGTATTTTAGGGAAGTTTGATTCATGTTTGTGTTGTTTCTCTGTAAAGTTTTTGACGCTATGTCACAGTTTTAATGATGTGTCGGTCTCTTGAAGCTGATCTAAAAGATTGTCACGACTTGATGATGTCGAAATTACATCAAATGTCCTTGTTTTCATTTCAAAAGTCCACAAAACATGTAATTTGCACCAAACTGCTTCAGTTTATTCGGGTTCTGCTGCAATAATGAGTCATTTGACTTTCATCAAGCTAAACTCTGCAGATTAACTGAGTAGATATTCGTCATGAACAATGTAGGGTTTTGTGTTTTTGTTCCACTCGTCCTTGCAGATTCTTTCCCTCCTTTTCCAGAGGATACGAACGCCTCGTGTTGTTTTCAGATCAGGGCTGATCAGCTGCAGTTCGGACGGTCCAACTGAGATTTGGTCCATCAGGTTATTGACACACTTGAGATCCTCGTTAGTAAATGTTTGGTAGTTTTAAACTCATTAGAGTTTGATAATGAGATTTTTTTAAAATCCAAAAAGCATAAATTACACTTGAAATGATGATTGAAGTCAGATGCTTTATTCTCCTTATTATTGACGCACACATTAGCCGGAGGATCATCACTTACACACATTATCGATTCCCAAACTAATAGCTTAAAGCTCATGTCAGTCGGGACTGCAGCTGAGCGGCGCTGATCGATAGCACACCGGACTAAATGTACTTGTCCACTCTGTCTCCAGCCAAGCCCGGCAGAACGCTCAGCACAGCGAGTCCTCCCACCCGTCCATCCCCAAGGAGTTCCAGTTGGACCTGGACATGATCGAGATGGACCAGAGCCGAGTGTGCGAGCTGCCCGACCTCGTTCAGCACAAACTGGATGAGCTGCTGGAGCCCATCATGATCCCCGAGCCCAAGTAAAGGCCCTCAGACAGACTCAAAGAAAGTAAAGGAACAGAAATTAACGTCTGCTGTGATTAATATGTGGTTTTGTGTTTGAAGGATGCGCGCCGTCTCTCCGCACTTCGACGACCTCCACAACAGCACGGCGTCCACCATCAACTTCGTCATCTCTCAGGTGGCGAGTGGCGACATCAACACCAGCATACAGGCGCTGGCACAGGTACAGTACCCAGTGTTGAAGTACAAAATATTACAGTACCCAGTGTCGAGGTACCCAGCGTCACAGTACGCAGCGTTGCAGTACAAAATATTACAGTACACAGCGTTACAGCGCAGCAGGAGCGTTCGTGTGGATTCGTGTTTCTGAACACACATGCTGCAGCTGACTTGGTAAACACAAACTCATGCTTTGGCGTCCACGTGCGCATATCTGGCAATATAAACGGACACATTTCCCCTCATGTTGAACACAGAAAAGGACACAAATTTTTACACGATATAGCAGTGACGTTTATCCCTATGGTGTGTGGAGCACAACGGGCCCACATAACACAGGATATCTGGAGAACTTAGAACCTCCCACTGTGTTTGGACTCCATCGATGGAAAGCATGTACGAATCACTGCTCATCCAAAATCCTGCAGTGACCACATGATGTTTTTTACATGAAGTAGCAGGGGCTCAGAGATTGGGCTGTGATAATGTGTCAGTGACGGGATATCAACAATTATAACAACAATTTCCCTGAGGTTCTCCCAAAGGGATCAATAAAGTTCTATCTATCCATCTAGAACTTTTCAGTGTGTTTGGGCTCCGTCAATAAAAAGCATCTACAAATCAAAGCACCTTTCGCAGCTACTTCAGTTACAAACATCACCACCAGCAAACAGGTGCTAGTGCAGTCAACAGCATCATGGTGCAGCAGGAGCATTCATCGTCTGCAAACGAGCTGTAAAAAGAGCTTATAAATACCATGTAGTGTTACTGCTGTTCTCTGAGCAAAATCTGGCAAAAGAATTTCCTTTGAGATAAACTGATTTCTTATCTGTTAATGTAGCTGTAGTTGGTTTCCCTCCATGTACAGTTTTTGACTGTTTTAGTTAACGCCGCTGTGATTTGTCCTTCACAGATTGACGAGGTGCTTCGGCAGGAGGACAAAGCTGAAGTCATGTCGGGACACATCGACCAGTTCCTCATCGCCACCATCATGCAGCTGAGACTCACCTACAGCACTCACATGGCCGACGACCGGCTGGACAAGAAGGACATCATCAAACTGTACAGCTGCATCATAGGAAACATGCTGTCTGTGAGTCGCTGCTCAGATTGTAACGAGAAACAACCGGTTGGTTTAAGGGTGAAGAGACGCTTAACGAGCCTCGTCTCGTTCTTTTCCAGCTCTTCTCTATGGAGTCTCTGGCCAGAGAGGCTTCGATGGGCGTCCTGAAGGACCTGATGCACGGCCTGATAACGCTGATGCTGGACGGCAGAATGGAGGACATAGAAGACGGGACGCAGGTCATCAGGTCCGTCAACCTGCTGGTGATCAGAGTCCTGGAAAACTCGGACCAGACCAACATGATCAGGTCAGTCCACGTTCACCGCAAACTGATTTTTAAAAAGTCCAGCGGTTAAATCAGCTTTCAGTCAAAGTGTATATCGTTAATGTAGCGTTTGTTATTGAATTATTGAATTTCCCCTCTGGGATAAATAAAGTATTTTTAATTTCATTTCATTGATTTAACACTATGATTTTTTTTTTTAAACAATGGTTAAAAATACACATTTTTCACAGCAAGAAACTGGGAATAGTCAGAGCTTTCAGTTTCATCAGAACAACCCAGGCTTATAATCAACATATTTCATTAAAATGACATTATTCTAGCAGTAGTAGCTGCATGTCATTTGAGCTTCAGTCATCAGTGGCATCTTCCTGACACCTTCACACGACTCTAATGTCTAACTTTAGATCATTCACTGGTCGGTCATACAGTGCAGATGTGTTATTTTTTATTGTTTAATTAAGAAACTTTATGTTGAGTTGCACAGTTTCCCTGAAGGAGCCCATATCACAGTTTCTTAAAGCTGATTTAAAGGATTGTCGCTGCTTGATGTTGTTAAATGACATGTTCTGTATTTTGCACAATGAGTCCTGAACTCATGCCGTTTACTCGGGTTGTGATGCAAAAAAGGTCACAAAAAATTGAGTTTAATTGAGTAATTATTCATTAATAATGTGCTAAACAAATGAGGTGTTGTGTTTTTTTTTAATTCCACTCAAACTGCCGTTCACTGATCAGTCGTACGGTGCAGATGTGGTCATTTTTGTTGTATTTTCTATTTGTGCGACTTATTCTGTCTTAGCTGTAACAGTGTTTTCTACTTTATTTCCACTACGGAGACACAGACATCTCTTTTAAGTTCCATTTTTTAACCTGTTTATTTACCCTCTTGCCTCCTGAATCTCTGCAGCGCTCTGCTGGTGTTACTTCAGGACACTCTGGTCTCCACGGCCGGCTCTCCGATGGTCTCCGAGCTGGTCATGAAGGTAAATGGACCCGACACCCGCTGCTAAATCTGTCATTGTAGAACCCGATGGTTGTGTTTGTAACCCGCTCTGTCTGTGTGCGTTCAGTGTCTGTGGAGGATGATCCGCTTCCTCCCAGAAACCATCAACAACATCAACCTGGACCGGATCCTGCTGGACGTCCACAACTTCATGAAGGTTTTCCCCAAAGAGAAGCTCAAGCAGCTGAAGAGCGACGTCCCCCACAGGACCCTGAAGACCCTGCTACATACACTGTGCAAACTGACCGGGGCCAAGGTGACGCACAGTTAAACCCTCAGGAGATCTGCAGGCCTTAATATTGTCCCCCGAGTCAGCAAATTAAAGAAAGTCCCCACAATGTGTCTTTACTTTAGATGGTTCATTTCACTATAGCTGTACACCAGCTGGTTTTAGCGCTGTGCTAAATGGGCCCAATGAGCTGCTGCTAATCACGTTTCCTTCAGGAAGAAAACTCTCTCTGTGTCTGTGCTTGACAACGCAGAGCAAAATAGTAGAACACACAGCTCCTGACACTGAGAGACTTTCTGAGGGATCATTTTGGCATATAAACATCTCTGAATTCACAGAACAGTTGTTTTTAGCTCATGTTTGTTATAAATGCAGAAGTTTTCTGTTGCTGAGTAGCAGCTCGGAAATGGCTCCTTAGTGACTGCTAGTTAACTTGTAGTCTTAATTAACTGCAGATTAGTCAGTTTCATACTCATTCTGTTTTCTGACAACAGAAATGAGGACAGATTTATTGTGGATTTAACCGTATTAAAATGCCGTTTACATGAGCACAGAGAGCAGGAGAGAAGCTAAACAGAGGTCGAGTTTAGGTTGAACTGAGGCTCAAAAGGCAGCATGAGAACACAATAACACACCCAGTCCTTGTTTATTGGTTTAAATTAAAGTTTCCACAGAGCTCCGACCTGTTGGTATACCATCAATGCTCACGTTAGCAACAGTAGCCACACAGCATACTAACAATAAACATTTTCCTGTTGTGGTAACAACATACAAGTAATCCGCTAAGTGTTCAGCTCCTCAGATGCTAGCAGTGCATGAAGACTCTTGTGTTCACTCTTGCAGCTGAACATTTGGTGAACTTTGAGGCATTTTAGAGTTTAGCAGAAGCAGAAAGTTTAGAAAGTAAATCAACCTGGTGGACTGTGAGGCAGCTGCTCATTCTGAATGAAAACAGTAAAGGGGGCGGAGCTACAAAAAGTTTGAGCTGGAAGACGATTGGTTGGGTAGTTCAAATCAAGTTTATTGTCATGTTGCTGTACGTACACAGCAGTACAAACAAGATGAGAGAGCGTTTCTTCAGGATCCAATAACTTAAAGCAATTTAAATAAAGAAGTGTTTGCATATCTGGATCAACAGTTCATCATTCTGACAGCTTGTGGAAGGAAGCCGTTGATCATTCTGGAGGTTCTTCCTTTAATGCTCCGGAAACGTTTGTGAAATGTTCTGAGGTCAGATTATACGTGGCTTGTAAAGCTGGACGTCTGTAGTTGAGGGAGCTTGAGGGATGAAACAACTAAACGTCTTCATATCTTAACAGCTTTTAGTTCACAACAACAGAACAAATGGATTTTTACTACATGAGACCTTTGAAGGCTTAAAGTTCTGTTTCCTCGTCAAAATGCTTAAAGTTGAATTTCTACAGACCTAAACATTGTTTTCTTGTCTGACAATAGCTTTAGCAGCTCGTTAAGGTTGAATGAGTGCTGCTTATTGACTGTATTAATGTGTTGATGAACAGATACTGGATCACCTGTCGATGATCGAGAATCGCAACGAGTCTGAGCTGGAGGCCCATCTGAGGCGGGTGGTCAAACACTCGGGAAACCTGTCGGGACTCAAGAGCGACCGAGGAAACGAGAAGGGCGGACTGCGCATGGTGAGAGACGCACAACAAATACACGACAAGAACACACACTTCAGTGGTCATTTTATTACAAAAGAAGACTGAACTCATGTCTAGGATTTAAAACCAGAAGTTGGATTTTCTGCTCATGTTTCTGACGTTATTTGTTTGGTCTTTAGGTAAAATGTTGCAGAAACTTTGCCTACAGAAAATATTCTTACAGGAGAATTAACACAACCTGAGTCGATCTTGTCTTTAGGGCGACTGTATCAGAGTTAAATTTGCTGTTTAACTGAGATGTTTTGTGTTTTGCGGCAGGATGATCGAATGTCGAAGGCAAAGGTCAGCGACATCCTGTCTGAGATCTTCAAGAAGATCGGCTCCAAGGAGAACACTAAAGAGGTCTGTCAGCTCCACTGCCTTATGTAGCTCCTTAAAATGTTGATTTCCAGTTTTATTGTAACCGAAAGCCTTGAAAGCATGACGTGAAGTTCCCGTCTCTCCCTCCTCAGGGTCTGACGGAGCTGTACGAGTACAAACAGAAATACTCGGACGCCGACTTGGAGCCGTTCCTCAAAAACACGTCGCAGTTCTTCCAGAGCTACGTGGAGCGAGGCCTTCGCATGATCGAGTCCGAGAGGGAGGGAAAGGCTCGCATCCAGACCTCAGCAGGTACGACAGGAAGCTGCCGGACTGAGATTGAGTGACGTAGAACCGTGTTTGAGTGTGGAAGAGAGGCCTAAATGTAGAGAAAAATGTCTGTCAAGGCCTCAGTCAGGGTTGTGTAGTAACACCGCTGTGTGTGCGTCTGCAGTGATTCCTCAACACGGCGTCGACTCCAGTCAGAGCGGCAACAACGAGGAGCTGAAACCAGCCGTCTACTACGAGAGACTGAAGATCCTGAGACAGAGACAAGGACTAGAAAACACCTCCAGGGTTTGTTTACACACACAAACTGTTGAAATGTGACCGAGAGCAAGTGTTTAGACAGTTTCACACGTTTATTTTTTGTGCTCCCAGTGGCAGGCAGCACCTTGCATGGCAGCTCTGTCGCCACCGGTGTATGAATGTGATCTACTCTCTCTTGCATAAAAGCGTCTGCTGAATGAAACTGTAAACTGTAATGTACTTAAAGGGATGTTTGGTGTTTAGCAGCAGCTAACGTCCGTCTCTTCTTCCGCCTCCGTCCACCAGCAGCAGGGAGTTGGGGGAAGCGACGACGAGCCTCAGCAGCGGCCGGCCATCTCCTCCCTGCTGTCGTCGAAGCCTTCGGTGGCGTCGTCCACCGACATGCTGCACAGCAAGCTGTCGCAGCTCAAAGAGTCCCGCGAGCTCTACCAGCAGGAGCACAACGCCCACTCCCACTCGCCCACCCACGCACACACCCGCTCGGCCTCACCGGCGGCCAACCTGGACGACCTGAAGAAGCGTCTGGAGAGAATAAAGAGCAACCGGCAGTGAAGCAGCAGCAGCAGCATCATGTCAGCTGTCATCTCTCACCTGTGGAGTCCAGCTGCTAGTAGGAAACACAGCATCCACCTTTTTAACTCACTTTATATCCATGTTCTGAAAGAAACGGACCCTCAGATCTGACTCCACCCACTGTGCCTGTTCGTTAGTAGAAATCAAACGCGCCCAGAAACCATCCGAGTGTTTTTAGCTGCGATTAAACTTCTGTCCCGTCCCGCCTTCTCTGTACACTGTATTATATTAAAAAAAAGAAAAAAAACGGTGAAACCCGCCGCCTCCTCCTCCCTCGTCTGTACATATGAAGCTCCTCGCAGGAAGGAAACACAAACGTCAGGAAGTGTCGTTTCTCTTCCAGTTTTACCGCGACGCTGCCAGGCGAAGTGAGAAGTCAGACGTGTAGCTGTGTGAGTGCCCCCCTGTGGTCGTACGCTGTCATAGTCGCTTGTAACTCTGTGATTTCAGCTCACCGGCGCCATCTAGTGGTGAAACTCCCTCAACAGAAGGCCTCAGCAGGTAGTCGGCCTTTTAGTAACATTAATAACACTTCAAATTTTGGTGTGAATCCACACGTTGGGACTCTGAACTGTCGGAGTGACGCTGCAGAGGCTGAACTTTAAGCAAAAACATGACTTTAATCAACTTATCTGGTTTATATACGTAGGAATTATTGTTCTATACAGCTGGAAAGTAGAAAAATAACTGAATAGAAAACTGCTGGCCTTATTGTCCCCACAGGTTTGATGGCAAATCATTTTATTTGGTGTTTTTTTTTTAAAGAAAAAATCTTATTAAATTGAACTTTCTGACGATTTATTTCAAAGCAGCAGCGCGAATTAAACTGCAGCACTTAGTTTGATCAAATGCATTTACTCAAATCCTGTCAGATTCTGTGTCTGGGTTCTCCTCTGGTGTCTCGTGGCCTTCTAGTAAGTGTCCGTGGTTTTCAGTTGATCTTTTTCGTGGCAGGAAAAGCTCGAGAGTTTGGAAAACGCATGCAGATGAACAGAAAACTGGTTCGAAAACCGTTTTCTGTTGATCTGCAGATTATTTTCTCAGTTAGTCGTTGGGTTTATGCTGGTTAACACGTCAGAAAACTGTGAAAATTCTCCTGGAAAGCAAGAAAACGGCTCCAAATATTCACATCAGACAAGAAAAAGCAGCACCTATTCCCATTTAAAACACTGGAAACATCAAATTTGGGGGTTTTTGTTGCTTGAAATTGAACAAATCTGCCACTTAACTGAACTCTACGTCTGCTTTTCCTGCCACTAAAGTTGATCCTCGTTCGATTTTAAGAGTTTTTTTGTTTGTGTTTTATCCTCGCAGCCAAACTGAAATGTGTCGTTTGTGTTGGTTTGGGCGGCGCACAGTTGAGAAGCTTTTATTTTGGAGGAGAGGAAGCGTCCAGCGGGGCGGCGTGGGTCGACGTCGGGCTGTAAATACTGTACGTAACCATTAACACGTCCCTCCACTTATTTAACAGCAGCCTCGGACTGCAGAGCCAACATGGCCGCCGCCGCGAAGCCGAGCGGCTCGCCGTCGCGTTCGTAGGCGCGAAGAGCATGGCATGACGACGTTTTTATTTTCTCGTGTAAATAAAGTTTGCGTTAATAAATCTGCTGTTTTAATTCCAAGTCTTTGGTTTTCTCATGACGATGATGATGATGGTGATGGTGATGATGATGAAGACGGCGGCCCTGTCACTCATCTGTTCTGTAGCCGAATGTCGAGTAAATAAATAAATAACATTGTTTTTGTATTTAATTCAGTAGTCTCACATGTTGCTCTCCTTGTATAATCCATCGTGGAAAACGGCAATAAAGTCTCGTTTG